CTATGAATCCTAAACCCTAAACCTTATAGTTCCCCATAAGTAGATAGAATATGGCTTTGGGTATATTAGAATAAGATCCCCATGGCCCCATATACCCCATATTCTATCTACTTTAAGGGGACTATACCCCAAGCCCTAAACCCTAAATAGTAGCTTCCATTTTCTTGTCCATTATCCCTATATTCCCTAAGATCCAAACCCCCAAATCCTAAGCCAGGGAACTCTTAAGCTTGAAAGTGGTGGACTTAGGGTTCTGGCTTTGAAGCTTTAGGACCCTAGTCCTAGTGGCCTCACTCCAAACCCACCTGCGAGCCTATGACTGGAAGAGCTAGATACCATGCACCTAGGCAGGCACATTGCGAAACATGGGCGTTATCTATAATTAAACTATAGGATATTACCCGGCTTCAATTGCTAGTTTCCGTGCGTAGGAGGACTCCAACGTAGACCCCAAAATACGATGATCCTGGGAGACCACCAAAAAGGTACCCCTTATTTTCGAAACCACTATTTTTTTGTCCCTACCTACCCCTGAGCATGCGAGCTTGACCTGCAAAAAGCTGTAACAAAGGATCTTGTTGATCAGCGGCCGCTGCTGGGCATCCTGGCATGCTGTCATCGCTTATAACAGGGTTTTGGTAACCTCAGCCCCCACAAAAAGGACCCCATTATCATCATATGGCTCCTGGGGTCCTGATTATCGCGATTGGGGTCACTAAAATCTTCCCCCAAAACATACAACATCAGTTTCCGTTTGCACTTTCCACTTGCTTCTACATCATAAGGGCATAATATTGCAGTGTCCCCCAGGGCAAGCAGGACCTTGTACCTATTGAAGTATTTGCTCGTAGTCAGGACTGGAGGAATTCATCCCTTTCATCGTCCTCTCACCCATCCATCCCTCCCTACTAATCACCTGTGAATACTTGAGTCCTGTCAGGTTGATCATGACAAACATGCTGTGTCTTGGGTGATCTGCTTGCCAGGGTGTTGAGTTTGGCTTCATCCACCTAAAAAGTCCCTATTCACCCCTATGATTATACTACATACTTGTATGAAATACCTACCTGTGTCCGCGCTCCGCGTTCAGAGCCCCCGCCCCCTTTCATGGTATGGTCCTCATCAAAGGACAAGGCCACATGGATTAAAAAAACAAGAACCACATTCTAGAATCTCTCTACCAACCCTACACCACAGGACCGAGAGGGGACCTCAATAAGCGCCCAAAAATCGATTAAACCAAGAAAACCATGCGGAAAAAAACAACTGCTTAAGCAAAGATACACCTTCTACAGCACCCCTCAACCCTCTGTAAGCCTTATCTAATCCTGGTATGAACTGTTTAGAGGCCGGCTATAATGCCTCAGCTAAACCATACGACCCAGACCACAGGCCACAAGACCACAGGGTGGGGGTTCACGTGGTGGGGTGTTACTAGGCTAATCTCACTCTATTTCATTGGGCAGGGGGGAGGGGGGCCGGGAATGCTGACGCATATAAAGCCAGATATGATTCTGCAAAGATTTCCACTGGGTTGCTGTTAAGGGTTTAAACTAAGTTACAGAATAAAGAAACCCTATCAATTACTATGTTCCCAGCATATGAGTAGCGTTCTTTTTGGTGGTTGAACCTAGTGGGATAATATTCCTTATATGAAATACTATACCCCAAAAGGATGATAGAATCTTACTCTTTAATGGGTACCATAATATCCCCAAATAAAAATACTACTCATATGGTAACTGAAGTTAAATTCCTCCACGGCAACCCAGTCTACATACCAATGCAAGTTCCAGCTCAAAATTAAGTAAGCCAAGCGGCGAAGTCTCCCCAAGACTGCTACTGTAATAACGCCTGCGCTCTCCCAAAGGCAGACATCCAGCATGATTATTGCTATTACTGTCTTTGATAATCCTTTTCTGATTACCATTGCAATTCTGTGGAACAAATGTGCATATGGCTCTCTTGACTCGCGTGACTATGAACCATTACCGTTACAAACCCTAAACCCTAAACTGCTATGACAACCACAACAGCCGCCCTGACCTTGGAGAGCATGCTCCGAATGAGTGAAAGCAGGTCTGGCGAGTATGAGGCGTCGGGCTGCGGATACTCGTCCTGCCATAGAAGGGTATTTTAATATGGTATGTATATATATATATGGTTTAGGATGTTTAGGGATATAATATGGTTTAGGGATATATATATATAGAGAGAGAGAGAGGTTTTATATAGGGGGAATGGAAAAGAAAATGGAAACTACTATTCAGGGTTTAGGGCGCAGGGTTAAGCAGAATAAAGGTATTCTGGGTAAATCGTGGAGAATTCAATACAGAAAAGAGAATCAACAATGCCGTGCAAACAGGGGTTTATAGGGGGATCGGTTTATATATATATATACAAACCCTCAGGCCTCACAGTCTCTGCGCCCATCGTTTTGCCACGGGCACGTGGAAGCAGTGCCAGCGTCTCGGCTGAGGTTGGCTCACGAAGTGAAAGGCAACAGCAGGAAGCGAAAACACGGAACTCTAGCCATTGGCATCAGCCATTGGCCCTGTCCCAGCAGCTGCCATCCCAAGAGGCTTTGGGCTGGCCCCGGGAGGCTGAAAGAAGCTAGAGAATGTACATGTACGGGCTTTGAGTCTGGCAACACGCCCCTTCAGATTTACACATGTCCAGACCTATACAAACCCTCAGGCCTCACAGTCTCTGCGCCCATCGTTTTGCCACGGGCACGTGGAAGCAGTGCCAGCGTCTCGGCTGAGGTTGGCTCACGAAGTGAAAGGCAACAGCAGGAAGCGAAAACACGGAACTCTAGCCATTGGCATCAGCCATTGGCCCTGTCCCAGCAGCTGCCATCCCATTCCAGTCCCAGCTTTGGTCTTTGACCGTCATCGCAGCGCTTGCAGTAGACGCCCAGGAAGCGCCTGAGACCTGCGGCGGATAGCTGGTAAGCGATCCGCTGCAGCCTGTTCCCAACGCTTGAGAAGAAGCGCATGTTTCTCATATCGAGAAACTGACTTCTTAGCTTCCCAGCGCCCTCTTTTCTGGATGTCCAAAAGTGAACGCCTTTTGTGGTAGGCATCATTTGAGGCTCCAGAATGGCGAAGGATATGGGGCATCACACACTTCGACTTGTATTTCAACTTCCCGGCTGCGTTCCTGAACCAGGCTTCGTATTTGGCCAGGGTGAGCTTGGGGAAGAGTTTGCCAGGGTGTTGCTTCACGTACAGGTCCATAGCTTGAGTAAGCCAGGCTCGGTCACTTTTGTCCGCCACAAGCACGGAGTCGTCGAACTTGCCTGTTTTTGTAGTAGCTCCAAGTTGGAACGGAGCCACCACTATGGACCACTTGTTGTAGCGTCCCCCGGCAGGGAAGCCAAGGTGCTGCTGCTCCAGGCCTAGGCATTCTGAGGGTCTGAGGTAGGTGTCGTACTGCAGAATCATGCCGAAGGCGATGTCCACGTGGCCATCATCTAGGGCAAGGTGCGCAAAGTCAAAGATGAACTCCTCCGGGACCGGGAGGCGCATGCCTCCTGGTGCCAGCTTTCGCCAGCCAGCCAAAGCTTCCTTGGAAAGAGGGAGGAACTCGACCTTTGGTTTATTGCAACGAAGAAGCTGAAGACCAAAGACGAGGTATGCGCTGGCACTCGGCTGCACTTCCTCCTCCAGCGCCAGCTGGGTCATGTAGCGAACCACCAATCTGTCCAGGCTGTCCAAGTTTACCCGGTGGTTGTGCTGGCGCGCCCATGACTCAAAATCCTGGATATGCTTGTGGTAGCTATCCAGGGTCCGTTGTGTGACCTTCAGGGTCCTGAGCTGTAGGTGCACTAGAAGAGCTGCCCCGTTCGGTTGTGTCCGAGGCTTGCTCCTCGACTTTGCCCTAGCAACGGTGTCGTCTTTGCGAAAGTCCGTGGTAGCCGACGATCTTTGCAATGTCCTCGGCTGTGAACTGGCCGAAGACGACTGGGTGCGAACGGATGTACCTGCATGCGTCGAGAAGGTAGGGCTCGAGGTCGTCCGTGTCGTCGTTGCTTTTTGAACAGCGCTTCTGGTAGGCGAAGAAGAGAGTCTGTGAGCTCGGGTCGCCGCCGTTTCGAGGCCATTCAAGAAGCCGACCGTGTCCTGCTTGGTTGCCTGCCCATGTGCTGCTTGGGGACTAAGCTCCTTCAGGATCTGAGCCCAGGCTTCACAAAGACTGCGGGGGTATGCTCCTGCTCCTGCTGTACGGTTGCGAGTCTGCTTCTTGCCATCGATAACTACAACCTCCGACCCTCGCAAAGCAACATGGACATGGTCGCGAGTGCACTTTCGAACAAGTCGCTCTAGGTCATCAATATTGGTGAGGATTCCCGTGGGTTTCTTGTAGGGGGCCCCCCATCCACACATGTGCAAAAGAAAGAAGTGAGTCTTGGGATTCTTGAAGAGGTCGTGAATTGGCCCAAACTCCCACAGCCGGCTTGTCTGAGGGTTCTCCAAGGTGAAGGAA